CCTCCCACTCTGGTCCTGTGCTCGTCTCACCTCACTGTAATTTCACCACTTTAAATCACGGTTCTCTGAGAGCCATAAGCTTAAATTATTTCAGGCCTGGCGCTTCCCTTTGAATCCTGCTGGAATAGATGAGGATCAGCCCTCTGCTCTGATATGAGGGTTGCACCTTGTGAATGAGACCAAAATGTAATTTGCAGATTCTCTAAGCTCACCCAATACACCAAACAGCACTGCAAAGTATACAGGGTAGGGTCTTTCAAGATGCTCTGGATGAACACTACTGGGATCTGATCAGAATAACACTACAAAAAGGCAAAAATGTTAACCGCCATAAAAGTTCCCACCACACAAATGCTCCCAGCCCAGATTTTGAATATTTATTTTAACTGACATATAAAAATTGCATGTACTTACAGGATAAGTTCTGCACTGAGGAGTGGCTAAATCAAACTAACAAATCTATTACCTACATACATATTTTTCTGTATGGTGAAAACATTTAAAATTTGTTCTTGTGGCTATTTTCAAGTATACAATACATTGTTACTAACTAAAATCACCAGGTTGTACAATGCAGCTCCCCAACAACCAATGGTCTAAAAAAAATTGCTCTTGGGCCAGGGATTTAACTCAGTGGTTCTGTTTTGGTTTTGTTGTTGTTGTTGTTGTTTGTTTGTTTGAGACAGGGTCTCACTGTGTAGTTGAGACTGACCTGCAACTCACTAGGTAGCCCAGGCTGGTCTCGAACTCACAGTGATCCTCCTACCTCAGCCTCCCGAATGCTGGGATTACAGGCGTGCGCCATCATGCCTGGTTAGCTCAGTGGTTCTGCCACCTGCCTTGCAGGCGCAAGGTCCCAAGTTCAATCCCCCATATACCAAAAACAAAAACAAAATAAAAAGATACTCTTTCATGAAGGATGATGATGATGCAGCCACTGCCAACTGCTGTGATGAAGCCAGTCACTCTTTTAACGTCAGTGCCAAGGAAACACACATTGCTGATTAGCATGACACAAGTCCTTTGAACAGGAGGGACCATTTTAATGACCAAGTATCAGCTGAGGAGCCTCATGAAGTAAGGGATGATTAGTTCAAGCTGATCTTGAACTCACTAGTGGCCCAAACTGGCCTTGAATTTGCAGTGATTCTCCTGTCTCAGCCTTCCAAGTTCATGTGCCACCATGCCCAGCTATTTCTACTTTCTAAACTAATCTAAGAGGTAATCTTTTTGCAATTCTCACGTACTTGGACAGATACAGGAAAGCATACAAAATTACTTGGAAGACTGTATTGGTACAACCAAACCTAGAGTTGTGGCTTGCAAATGGAGGGTTCTGAGAAGGAGATGCAAACCAAGGGGGACTGGCCAACTCTGCACCCACCACAGCTCTCTGCAGCAGGAAACAGAAGCAGGACAGAATTACCAGTGATGCCGAGGGATTTAGCTCAGTGGCACCATGCTTGCCTCTCAAACACAAGGTCCTGAGTCTGATCCCTGGTACCAGAAAAAAAAAAAGGAAAGAGAGAGAGAATTACCAGTGATGAGATATCAAGCCTTCAGGTCCAAGGAAGAACATCAAAGAACAGAACCCACTCCTGAAAAAGGAAAAATGGCTAACCAGGGCCAGGATAGGCAAGAGACATGTTTTTATAGACATACTCTGCTGTCAACCACTTGTATCTCCCCAGGAACCTCTCCTCTTAATGTCACCATCCGGTCAGGCTCCGTGTACTCTGGAGGTCATCCAATCTCACTGCCAATTTCTCTGGGTCCACAGAGCAGATTACACATGCATTTGGACCATGGCTAAGCTTCCAAAACTTGGTTTTATCTTTCGAAAACTAAGGAACAGCAACAACTCTCTAAATGTTAAGGGCACAAAATAAATACAGTTCTAAGAATTTCAAAAGCAAGCGTTATATAAATAGTAAGGATCATTTAAGAAAAGAAATTGGTGGTAGCCAAGGATATCATCAAAAAGTAAACAAAACTCAAAAACCTGATTATCCATTCTGTCTCAACTCTCCATTGCTTCCCAACCCTGATCCTCCCTTCCCTGTCCACTATAGTGTACTCAGCTCTGGAGTGAGAGCAGGTACTGTGCAGCTAGAAAATAGTACAACAGCTGGTGCTGGCAAAGACAAGCTGGAATGATTAAGGAACAGTTTAAATATGTTTGGCTTCCAGTATTTAAGAACAAAGAAGAGAGGCTAGGCACGGAGGCGTATGCCTGTAATGCCAGCACTTGTGAGACTGATGCAGAAGAATCCGAGGCCAGGCCAGCTTGGGCTGTATAGGGAGATCCTGTCTCAAAAAAGAAAGAAAAGGGGCCAGGGATTTAGCTCAGTGGTGCTGTCACCTGCCTCACAAGTGCAAGGTCCTGAGTTTGATCGCTGGTACCAAAAAAAAAAAAAAAAGAAAAAAGAAGAGAAGAAAGAGGAGTATATAATTGCTGAAAAGATTTTCATCAAAATGTTACCACATTTTAAATTCTGGGATTGTATTTCAATCATCTAGAAACTTATGTAGTACATCAATTTCTGATGATACTGAAAAATTCAACAAATACTGGTTAAGTCCAATGTGGTGACTAGGAAGTAAGACATGGTTGTTAAAGGCCTGCTTCTGGGGCCAGACCACCTTGGGCAGTCACTAACCAATATGTGCCTTGTTTTTCTCATCCATGAAATGGGGATAATAATAAAATCTACTTAAAGGGCTGTTGGGCAATTTTAACAAGTCAATATATGAAAAGTGGACCACGGACTTAGCTCAGTGACACCACATCTGCCTCACAAGCGCCAGGTCCTGGTACAAAAAAAAAAAAGAAAGTATACACACACACACACACACACGAAAAGATCTTATTTATATACAGAATGCCCCAGATCAGTGTCAGTTATTACTATTAATCAAGAACTCCATGGGGCTGGGGATTTAGCTCAGTGGTTTGGTGGCCTGCCTTGCAAGTGCAAGGACCCAAGTTCAATCCCCGGTACCAAAAAAAAAAAAAAGAAAGAACTCCATGAAGATTTCCTGCTTCTGGTGGCTCCTTGGGCTGAGGTCTGAAGCCATGATGAAGATCCTAGGCACGCTGCAAGGGCTCCTCGCACTTTTACAAGCTGACTCATCACGTTCATGCTGATCTGATGGTGAACTTCCACAACGTGGCTCCTGGTCAGAATGAATCAATTGCCTCTGGAGAATAACCTGTGACTCCTGCGCAACGAGCTTACCATGGGCCACTGCTGGTCCGTCTCCATTGTGGAGCCTGATTTCTTTGACTTCATTTATCATCTAACATTCTGTGGCATCAGAGTTCACAAACAATTAAGTACTTTCACTGAAACTTTGATCACATATAATTTGGTACATTTAGATTTTAATGTCCATCTCCCTGTAACATGCTACATTCAAAAACAGTTTCTAGCCGGGCGTGGTGGCGCACGCCTGTAACCCCAGCACTTGGGAGGCTGAGGCAGGAGGACTGCCGTGAGTTTGACGCTAACCTGAACTACATAGTCAGACTTTGTCTCAAATAAAATAAAGAAATAAAGTTTTGCTGGGCATGGTGGTGCACACCTGTAATCCCAGCACTTGGGAGGCTGAGGCAGGATTGCCATGAGTTTGACGCTAGCCGGTGCTACATTGTGAGTTTGAGGCCAGCCTGAACTACACAATGAGACCTTGCCTCAAAAAAAAAAAAAAGTTTTTGCAATTCTTTAAAAAAAAAAGAACTAGCAGACATCATCGTCTAAGCAAGACAAAAGAAATCAGTTCCTGTCCTCATAGAGCTTATCATCTGACAACTAAGGCAGTCAAATAGGCACACAGAGAAGGACAAACTGCCCTGGAGAGAACTATGAGAACTGGAGAAGATAACTTGAACTGATCTTCTGGGCTGGAGGGCAGAAAGGGGTGTACAGAATCGAAGACAACTTTCCTGAAGGAGTAACATTTGAGTTCAGATCTCCAGAGGGAGAGGAAAGGAAGAATTTCCCAGGAGAAGGAAGAGCCCATGCAAAGGTCCTGAGACAGGATACTTTACTGTGTTTGAGGACCTGCAGGGTCAGTGTGGCTGGAGAGAGAAAGAAGAGGGAAGAGTGGGACTAGGAGGGACTAAAGAAGTAGGAAAAACCATAAACTTCTTTACATACTGGACGTCGTTACCTGTATGGCCCACAAAAAGAGCAGGAAGGTGTGCTGTTCAAACACTGCCAAACAGATCCAGAAAGAAAACCCCTCACTCTTCTAAGAAAAGTGCTCAATATACCAACCATAGACACCTGTGTGTATGTAACCCCAGCAGAGGCCCCTAATGTTTTAATTTACACTAACAACAGACTGGTGCTTGGCTGATTTACAGCTGAATACAAGGATAACACACCAAAATTTCTTGAAAAACCCTAAATGTGGCCTTTAGGACAAACACCGGTGCAAAGTCTCTTGCTTTCCAAAGCCCCTCATGTTAAGGTTTCCTCTGGTCAACGAGGGGATTAGAAGGTTTCATCTGAAGGCCAAAATGTTAAATCTGTCTCTCCTCTCCATCTATCTCCCAGATGCAACAACTCCATCATACCTGCAGCCACTCTAGGGCAGGGACAGCAAAGCTACAGCCTGCATGAGGGCTGCAGGGGGCTGTTTGTATCACTGAAAGCTCTGAAAGACGTCTCTCCTCTCCATCTAACCTCCCAGATGCAACAACTCCATCATACCTGCAGCCACTCTAGGGCAGGGACAGCAGCAAAGCTACAGCCTGCATGAGGGCTGCAGGGGGCTGTTTGTATCACTGAAAGCTCTGAAAGGTCCACCACCACTGCTCTGGGGCTAAGTTCCCTGCTTTACTTGTCCGCCTGTTGGCTGACTCTTTGACTCTTACTTGGGAGCTCACTTCTTTTAACCCCACCCCAGGACTCTCTCCTCTATGCTACAAAGTTACAGAAAGAAGGGCCTTATTACACAGAAGGACCTGAAGTTCCAAGACCTATAAAACTTACTTTCAAGGGACCATCTAGCGAGGAACAGTGTAAGACTCCACATTCCATGACTGTGCCTCCTGACACCTGGCTCAGCAACAACTC